TGCGTTTCTTGTAGACAGCAGAATGTTGGATCCTGTTTTCTTATCCAATCTCTTAGCCTGTGCCTTTTTATAGGTGAGTTGAGCCCATTGATATTAAGTGATATTAATGACCAGTGGTTGTTAACTCCGGTCACTTTTTTAGTAGTAGGGTTTGTCTGTTTTCCTTCTTTGATTTGCGCTGGTGAAGAGTCTCTAGATGTCTGAGTTATTGTGGTCATTGTTGGACTCCTTGGTTAGTGATTTTCCTTCTATTATTTTCTGTAAGGCTGGATTTGTGGCTACGTATTGTTTAAATTTGTTTTTATCCTGGAAAATTTTGTTTTCTCCATTTATAGTGAATGAAAGTTTGGCTGGATATAGTAGTCTGGGCTTGTATCCGTGGTCTCTTAGTTTTTGGAGAACATCTATCCAGGACCTTCTGGCTTTCATGGTTTCCATAGAGAAGTCAGGTGTAAGTCTGATAGGTTTACCTTTATAAGTAACTTGGCCTTTTTCCTTTGCGGCTCTTAATATTCTTTCTTTATTCTGTATATTTTGTGTTTTGATTATTATATGGCGAGGGGATGTTTTCTTTTGATCCAGCCTATTTGGTGTTCTGTATGCTTCTTGAACCTTCATAGGTACATCTGTCTTCAGTTTGGGAAAGTTTTCTTCTATAATTTTATTAAGTATATTTTCTGTACCGTTGAGCTGCACTTCTTCTCCTTCTTCTACTCCAATTATTCTTAGGTTTGGTCTTTTTATTGTGTCCCATATTTCCTGAATGTTTTGTGATGAGAGTTTGTTGGACTTGCTGTTTTCTTTGATCAGAGTGTTTATTTTCTCTATGTTATCCTCAGAATCTGAGATTCTTTCTTCTATCTCTTGTATTCTGCTGGTTATACTTGATTCTGTAGTCTCTATTCGTTTACCTAGATTTTCCATGTCCAGCCGGCCCTCTGTTTGTGTTTTCTTCTTTGCCTCCATTTCAGTTTTCAAGTCATGAACTGTTTCCTTTATCTGCTTGATTGTTTTTCCTTGGTTTCCTAGGGTATCATTCACTGATTTACTCAATTCCTCGAACTTTCTATTATACTTCTCATCCATTTCCATAAGGGCGTTTTTTATATGCTGTTTAAGGGTGTCAATCACTTTCATGAAGTCAGTTTTTTCTACTTCTTCTTGATTAAGGTGTTCATGTCCTCCTGTTGTGGGGTCACTGGCTTCTGGTGGTTTCGTGTTGTTTTTCAGATTGTTGGGAGAATTCCTGCATTGGCGTCTGCCCATCTCTTCCTCCCAATACTCCCCTTTGGATCTTCTTTTACAGGATCAGGTCTTCTTGCCCACTGATGTACCTTCCCAGTGATGTCACTCCCCAGAGATGTTTCTCCACAATGATGTTTCACTCGGTGCCCAGATCGAAACTCCGCGCTGCCTGGTTAGCTCGCGAACAAAGGGCCCACCCCGCTCGCTGTGGGCAGGCTATGGGAACAAAGGAGCTACCAGCCACCCCTTTGTCCTCCCGGTTCGGTCCCAGCGTCCTAGCAGGCTGGGCAGGGAGGCGCTATGCCCCAAAGGAGGGAGAGAGGGAGGGAGACAGGGGGTGTGGGGATCTGGATGTGAGCTGAATGGGATAGAAATAGAGAGGCGGTTTGGGCAGTATAGCCCCTGTAGGATGGCCTGGAAGTGTGGGCGGGCTGAGGTATGTTCCCAGCTGCCGCAGCACTCACTCACCACAATGATGTTTCACTCGGTGCCCAGATCGAAACTCTGCCTGGTTAGCTCGCGAACAAAGGGCCCACCCCGCTTGCTGCGGGCAGGCTATGGGAACAAAGGAGCTACCGGCCACCCCTTTGCCCTCCCGGTTCGGTCCCAGCATCCTAGCAGGCTGGGCAGGGAGGCGCTATGCCCCAAAGGAGGGAGAGAGGGAGGGAGACAGGGGGTGTGGGGATCTGGATGTGAGCTGAATGGGATAGAAATAGAGAGGCAGTTTGGGCAGTATAGCCCCTGTAGGATGGCCTGGAAGTGTGGGCGGGCTGAGGTATGTTCCCAGCTGCCGCAGCACTCACTCACCACAATGATGTTTCACTTGGTGCCCAGATCGAAACTCCGCGCTGCCTGGTTCACCTGATTGTTTTTTCTTGGCTTTCTTTTAGGTGTTTATTGAGTCTTTCCAATTTTTGTTGTTTGTTTTTTCCTCTCTTTCTTTAAGGGATTTGTTCAGATCATCTTTAAGACATCTATCATTTTCATAAAGTAAGTTTAAGGTCAATTTTTTGTGGTTCAGTTGTGTTGAGTTGTTCAGTTCTTGCTGTTGTAGGATAACTGGGCTCTGGTGATGCCATATTGCCCTTTCTGTTATTTGATTGTGTTCTTACACTGGCATTTAGGTATCTAGATTTAGGTGATACAGCTGCCCAGTCTGTGGGCCCTAGTGTGGAGCCCAGGGGATGCAGTGCAGTCTGGTTTTGATGGCAGGCTTTGAGAAGTGTTAGAGGGCAGTAAGTGCTGTCTTTCCTGGGGTTCCTAATAAATGCATTTGTTACTTGTTACTTGAAAATATTTTCTTGACATTAGTTTTCTGACCTTCTAATTTTGTCTCTGACTATGATTTCGATATATCCAGGTCTTCTTTTGGAATCTCTCTCTCAGAGTTCCTATATTTAACTTCCATGCCTTTCCCTTATTCACTTACAGTTTCTTCTTGATATTAAATTATGTTATAGGCAAGATTTATTTTGGGGACCTATGAAGGCAGTACCTTGATTTTGAAAATTCTCCCCTGTCATCTGAATTATCCTTTTCCTCACTGTAACAACAAGTCATGTTTCTCCCCTCTTGTCTGGCATATTAGTGTCTCACAGTCTGTGTCATGAATGAAAGATTGAATCGCCACTGTGGGTGGCAGGCATGGATGCGACTCTCCACTTCTTCTCCACTGATACTGGCAGGGCTACCCACCTGACCAACCGGGAGGTGGGCATCCATTCTTTCACTCCCACTTGTACTCTTGGATGTAGTAGCAATAGGCAGGCAGGAACCCCAGTGTGGACCCAGAGAAGAAGGTTTAACCAAGCCATAAAGTTTCCTTTCACGGTGACACTGCCTTACATGCTGGCCTCTCTTCTATCCCATTATTCTTTTTCGAAATTTAAATAAAAAAATCTAAATAAAAAAATGTTCTTGTTATTTAAGGGACTTGGGATGAGAATAAAATTAGATGCACGTGGCCCATCTGCTGTTTTGAAGTTAATGACCCCCATTAGCTCCCTGCCTTTTCCTTTTCAATGATTTCTCAGTCTTGCCTATATCACTCTTTTTATGTTATAATGAGCAATGTTTCCTTGGTAATTAAAGTCTTGCGGTATAAAAGCCATTCCAGGGTCAATGAAGATTGAAAGGCTGCCAGAACCGCTCTGGGGTGCCACCACTTGCTGGGTGGTTGCAATTTCTGCCATACTTTGGAACAGAAGCTGGGTGCTGGCGGGCTAGGGAGGGGACATTTGTATACATATTGAAAGCTGTCACAGCTTGCTGGTCACAACTTAAGCTGAGTTCTTCATATTCTTCAGTCTCTGTTCTTGAAACTGTATTTTATCCATCTGCATTTGGTTTGATTTTTCATTTGGTGTGGCTGTTATTTATGCTATGTTTGGATTTGCACTCAATGGGTTTACAGTAGAGACTTGGAGGCCATATTTGTCAAAAATGAATTTTCTTGTCCTCAGGGACAATCACATGCACTTTGGATTATCCCTCTTCCTTCCCTGCTCTCAACGGTGCACACCAGAGTGGTGAAGGGGGCCAGGCTGCACAGTGCACAGTTAGCACGCATGAGTCCTGATTCCACTGTAGTGTGAAGAGACAAAGGCCCATGAAGACAGGAGCACCGTGCCCAGGATTTTCCTCTCCGAGGAAAGACTCCTGAGTTCCTTAAATTGCCTCCCATTGCATAAACCCCTTATGTGTCACAGGAGCAGAGGGAGGAATGCCATACCCCGTTAGGGTTCTTTCTTCCCAGCCAAGTTGTGTACTAATGGGTATAACTCCGAGATGGAATATTTCTCCACTAGCAGGTGATTTGTAACAAATCCAGGAGACCAGGGAGCCTGTCTACTGACTCTCAGATACGTGTGCTCAGCACTTGCCCTGACTCACTGCAGCTCCTCGTGCCCAGAAATGTGCTGAGACTGCTATGCCGAACCTGACCCGGCACTAAGGCTTGCCAGGTTAACAGCAGCCAAAGACCTAAGAATAAACTAGTTAGCCACCTTCCACAGACAGCTACCTGAACAAGCACACACTTTCTTTTTTAAGAGTCAGTAAGCCAAGCATGGCAGTGTCTGTAAACCTGTAATCCCAGAACTCAGGAGGCTGAGGCAAAGGGATCACTAGTTCTAGGCTAGCCTTGCTTACATAGTGAGTTCAAGGTGAGCCTGAGCTCCCGTAGAGAGACCCAGTCTCAACAACCAAGGGCTGTGGATGTAGCTCAGAGGTAGAGCACTGGCCAAGCATGCACAAGACTCTCAGCTCAACCCCCAGTGCTGCAAACACAATTAACAACAGGACGATGAATAGTGGAAGAAACACACTTTTCACTATTGCACTTGAAGCAATTTTTAACAATTGTGTGTGTGTGTGTTTATCCATGTGTGGGTGCATATATATGTGCATGCATGGGGAAGCAAAAGCAGAGCCTCAGGTATTGTTTCTCAGGAGCCAACTCTCAAATTGGCCTGCCATTTGCTGAATGAGGCTGTGTGGCCCATGAGCTCCAGGAATCCTCCTGTCTCTGTCTCCCCAGCCCTGGGATTAGAGTACAGCACAGAAGACTTTTTTGGGGGGGAGGGGAGTGGGCATGGGTTCTGAGGATCAGTTAAGGTCCTCGTGTTTGAATGAGAAGATCTTTACCAAGTAAGCTATTCCCCAGCCCCACTTAAGGGACTTTTTTGCATAGCTCTTTATCACAACATGCACACAGGTAATTGGTTTGAAACATCCTTCCTCTGCCTCTTCTCTAGGATATAGAGTACATACGATCTCATTATAACATCGAGGATTTCATCTACTTCAGCCACCACCAGCAAGAAGAACATGGGCGCTTGAACCATTTTGCCCTGAACCCTATTTTCCGACACTACACCAAGTTTTTCCTGAAGGAGATCCTTCGCTTAGGCTATAAGTCATGTCTATACTACCCCATATACCCACAATCTCGGGAGAACAAGGTAAGAGGCTGACATGGGCTGTCCCCTCCTGCGCATAGGTGTGCATGGTGGCGTCCCGTGTGCGCTGCGTCTTGTTTGTTCTGCTCGTGAGGACTTTGACTGTAGCATGAAGCTGAATCTCCACGGGCCATATTTGATTAGGCCATTTGCTTCACTGTGGCGAAAGTCCGGGAGGCTTCCAGTTTTTGAAACAACAAGAACCAATGTAATTAGACAAATTGGTTGGTTTTCCTATATTGGCAAAATGGCAACTGAAAACTCTAGCTGAACAAGACACAAGCAGCCAATTATTTCTCATGGTGTGAAGCCAACATGATCCTATCATGTTCTTTGAAATATAGAACCCTACAGAAATGAGTAAAATAAAGTAGTTCCAGCCTATAAAATTGGTGTGCTATACAGTGCATTCTGAATAAAATTTATAACCATTTCCATAAAAACAATGGATGAACGGTGGAGACGTACAGTTGTAATGGAACTCCGCTATAGGGAATACCTATGCCGTTCCATCTAATGCTTGCTATATTTCCACCGAGTAACACAGCAACAGAGACCGTGCACATGTTGCTTATATCCATCCAAATACCAGCTCATCTCACCTCCACGTCCTCCTCTTATCCTGCTTTGGTGCTCAGGACTGCATGTTTTACCATGCAGGCTGTGCCCTTGTTTTTTCTTCCTCAAGCTGTGTCTCATAGGAGCTACTGACACACACACACACACACACACACACACACACATGCAGACACCTTCACCTACTCATGTACTGTCACCTGGATGTTCCACAAGTAAGTGTGATTTAGGCCAGATTCCCATGGGGACTCTGAAAATTGGTCCCTTGGTCACTAACGGTGGTTCCCAGCTTGGTGTGTACTTTCAAGGTTGAGTAGAAGTTGTCCCCTCAGTTCTGGGTCATGACTTCAAGCTTTTCCACATTCTGCTGAGAGCCCTTGACACTGTCACCCTTTTTCTCAGTGTCCGCGAGGAACTAAGGGCAATTTTCAGATGCTCTTACTTGCCAAAGTATTTCTCAGACAATCTGTGAGCGCATTAGCGCATACACTTATAATAGTTGTGCCCCTGTATCATCTTAAACAAAAGCCAGCTGGAGGAAGCCTGTGGAAAAGAGTTGTCGTGAGCTGTGGACCCTGCTTCAGGGAGGTTTTGGTTTGGTTTGGTGCTTGTGTCCCCTGTAAAATGTAGCAGGCCAGCAAGATGATTAATGACCCAGAAGATAACAGTTGTACAGGAAAACCCTGGCCCCAAACAATTTCCTTCACTTTACGCTTGACTGAATACCAACTGTGTGACCTTCCAGGTGTGATATTAAATTCTTAGTTTCTATTTGCCACACTACCTGCATATGGGATGTCAAGAGCAAAGTGCACTTGCGTCCACAGTAAAGACATCTTGGGCATTTCATTGCCCCCGCCTCTGCTTTCCAACCAGTGTGGCGTTAGGAAAGCCGCAAAGCACACTTGGAAACACGTTCCTCAGTCACACTGCCAGTTGATTTACACAGAAGACAAGAGTGAGATGCCGTCCCAAGTCATTTGAGTGAGAAGTCCCAAATTCAGCCCGAAGTCCTCTGGCAGTGAAATCGAGCTGCCTGTATCTCACTGTGGCAGTTGCTCTCCCTTTACCTCATGCAAGCATCTTCATCAGGACGTAGACCAGTGGTTCTCAACCTGTGAGTCACGACCCCTCTGGGGATCAACTATCAGCTATCCTGCATGTCAGATATTTGCATGACGATTCATAATAGTAGCAGAATTGCAGTTATGGAGGAGTAGTGAAAATAATTTTATGATTGAGAACAACGGACATAGACATTCACAGACATGCAAACCACACTCTGGCCAGGGTTTCCTGGGTTCCGATTTTCAGTAACATGTGAAGTCAGGGTGTGAGGTGCAGTGGTGAAGGAGTTTTTAAAGTTCTTCTGGCTGGGCAGTGGTGGTGCACACCTTTCATTTCAGCAACAAAAGACAGAGGCAGGCGGATTTCTGTGAGTTTGAGGCCAACCTGGTCAACAGAATTTGTTACACAGAGAAGCCCTGTCTTGAAAAAAGGCAAAAACAGAAACAAACGAACAAACAAAAGCTCTCATGGAAGCTGATATAAATGCCCATGGCTACTTTAAAATGGCACGCAAGTCATATGCAAACTATTACATCTATTAAGATACATCTAATTCTGCTTTACTTTTTTCTCTCTCTAGCTTCAGTTCAGTAAGGAGATACATCATTGCCAGTTTGGTTTCTTCCCAGTTTTACACTTGAGAGTTGTACTGGCAGGTTTTGTGTGTCAACTTGACACAAGCTAGAGTCATCAGAGGAAGGAGCCGCGTCCGAGGGAAGGCCTCCATGAGATCCAGCTGTATGGCATTTTCTCATTTAGTGATCAGTGTGGGAGGTCTCAGTCCTTGGTGGGTGGTGCCATCCCTGGGCCACTGGTCCTGGCTTCTGTAAGAAGGTGGGCTAAATAAGCCTTGTGAGACAAGCCAGTAAGCAGCTCTCCTCCATGGCCTCTGCACCAGCTCCTGCCTCTAGGTTCCTGCCCTGTTTAAGTTGCTGTCCTGGCTTCCTTCTATTATGATATGAAAGTGTAAGCCAAATAAACCCTTACCTCCCCAACTTGCTTTTTGGTAATGGTTTTTCATTGCAGCAATAGAAACCCTAACTGTGACAAGGGTGAAATGGTTTCTTGGCCCTGAGTTTCCTTTTCTTTTTTTATAATTCCCAAGATTGCATAAATGTGAGAGACACTGTTCTCTGTCAAGTTTTAAAAACTAGATAAGATTAATATTTAAGGCATTGTTGTAAAAGTTGTTTATCTCTTTCAGCAAGCATAAATCCAGTTCATAACTTCATCACCATACAAATCAAAATTATTTGATTCTCTTCTCTACCCCCACTCTCCAGTTTTATTCCTTCATTCTAAGACCCTTATTTCATTTTTTTTTTTAAAAGCCCCAGTGATGTTGCCCAAGTGCTTTCACATCTGGCCTCTGCTGCCCCCTGGGTGGCATTTTTATCTACGTGTGTTAAAGCAGCTTGTGCCAGACACACAAAGGTTAACAGGGCTCGGATAACACAGCTTAATGGGGTCAAATCAAGCTGATTCATGATCACTATGGAGAAGAATATTCTCCTGGGGGAAATACTTGTACTGAAAAATCCCATAAACCAAACCACTTGTTTATCTGTCATTCCCACAGAGATAGTAATGGAATTACTCTCGTAATTATCTTCATTAGTGTCAGGCATTATCTACAATTCATTCCTCTGCTCGAAGAGTATGTTTGTTTATTTGCTGATTTTTTTTCCCCTCCCCTCTCTGACTTGGCCCAGTGAAGAGTTTTGTATTTGTCAAGCAGCGTGCGGACATCTGCGCTGTGCGCCTCTGACATTCTCTCCCCTAAAGTAGAGATTGCTGCCTTTCAGATCCAGAACTCCTACGCCCACTCCCTAACATCTGCCCTTCATTACTTGGTTCCCGTGCGACCACGACGACAGATTGTCTATCCTCTGGAAAAGCTTGGCATAAACGCTCCATCAAAGGAGGTCTCCAAGGATCAGGTGGGTAGCAGGGCGGCAGGCAGGGAGGCACGGTGCCAGCTCCCGCGGGCTTGGCAGATGGGGTGGCAGCCCTGTCTTCACCGAGCAGGCTGCTTCTTAGTTACAGGGAACCTGGCGCTCATACCCTTACAGGCGGCGCCCTGCGAGGGCTCCCCGCAGCTTTGCCCTCAAGTGGTTATTTCACCATAAGCCTAAAACAGTAGCCACATCCTCCTTCAGAGGATTCAGCAGGGACACCCTGTGTGTTGTTGCTGGTCCTTAGACAAATGAGTGGCCTAGAGCCATCCGCATCCCCCAGCATATTTTATCTTCGTTCCCTGTCCTCAGAAGAATCCCCCTTTCAATTGATTGTTTGCTTTTAAGTCAGTCAGTGGTCTTCTTGCCATTAGGACAAAGCTGCCAGAGATATGTCATGTTGGAGGTGTTTAGTCTTAAGTTGGTGTTGTTTTTTTTTTTTTTGATTTTTAATACTTGCATAAAAACTCCTGTGGGATGTCAAAAAGGGTAACAGGCTTGTTTATTTTGCCCTCCTTGAGGTAAAAACTAGTCCTGGAATACCAGACAAGAAAAGGGCCTAGTACCTGCATGTCAAAGTTCATGTATGTGAAGACACAGCCAGCTTTTGTGATTGTAATTTAAATGGAAAATGGGACCAACATGTAGGCTCCCAGTGTTCTGGGTACTTTGAGTTTAAAAGCAAAATATCTTAGTGGCTAAGTTTTGCTCTTCCTAAAAGCTAAAAAAGGAGAGTAAAAGTTCAAACATTTCAAACATTAATTCCAGGAACTGTTCCTCAGAGTTGAGGGATCTCTTCACAGGGAAAGTATGAATGATGCCCCCAGCTTGGCTTCACACAGGGGTGGGGACTTCCCACTCCAGTCCAGAGGCCTCAGTTCTCTGGAACTGAGGCTGCTTCAAGTCTGGCAGGATCCTTATATTAGTAAAATAACAAAATTTGTATTTATTTTCTAACAATTACATATCTATATTTGAGGAGAGACTGAAAATGAACAGCTGTTTTGTTTTATTTATTTTTTGAAGTTTTTATTATGGAAGGTGGTAAGCAGATTCAATCATATAGAACATGTTTCCTATTCCCCACCCCCTGCCATGAGAGACCTTTCCCTTACTCTTTTTTTCAGATTTCAGTCTGTCATAGTTTTAGCAAAATTAATTCCTGGAAAAGTACCATTTAAAATGCAAAGACAGACAAAATCCAAGTTCAGTTATGTACTGTTAATTTTGCAGACATAGAATTACTCTGTCGAATTACTAGAAACTTCCACGTGCTTAGGTCTTCATAGACCAGTTCACACATGACTTCTTATTGCGAACCACAGCCTGAGGGGTGCGGAAATCTGAAGGGGCCTCCAAGTAAGCAGAGATCACACCTGAGGGGACAAGCTATGGGGTGGGGGGCGGCTCTGGGCAGGGCAAAGTCAGCAGCTGGTGAGCCTGAAGGAGTGGTTTCCAAGGAGAAAAGGGGACATCTATGTTAGGATGAGTTGGTAAGGCCGGATGGGACTTGTTCGTCAGTGTAGCCAAATAATGAGTTTTGACTGTTGGGCCTTGGTGTTTTGGTAGCTGAACCTCAGTAATTAGCATCAGGAATAAGTTAGGCATAAGGACATAGCCAAGTAAGTGAATGGGCCTTGACGGCAAGCAGGAATGTAATCTAATGGTTTAGTAAGGGAGAGGGCAGCGGGAAGGGTAGACCTGTTTACACCATGTTTGCAGTCCTGGGGCCCATTATAGAGTCCTAAAAACTCTCCATATACACAGCACCTGGAAACAGTCATTTTCTATTCTTGGCCAGTTGGTATCTTCCTTCTCCCCACTTGCTTCCCCTTCCCCCAGCATCATCTGGAAGCAAACACCATGGGCAGATTCTTCGTATTATCAGTCTATGGGCATGGTCTTAGTGTCAGGGTCCACTGTGCTCTGAAGGTGAGATATACAGGCGCCCACCAGGAGGACCAGGGCCCTCTTGCATTGGGACATCCTGGAATGGGTCAGAGAAAGCAGCTGTATGCTGTATCTGTCTCAGAAACAGCTTCCATAATTCTGATTAGAAGCGTGTGTGTGTGTGTGTGTGTGTGTGTGTGTGTGTGTGTGTTTGTATGTGATCTCACCAGATGATGCTTTGCAGTGTATGAACCAGATCCGGTAAAGATGACCGATATCATACCTTTGCAACTGTTGCCTACATGCCTTCACGCAGACAGGGCTGGGCCTTTTGTGTTATTGGGGCTCCTGTGACTTCAGCCAGCACTTTCATGGAATGAGCGGGGGTGTTCAAGTTGTCGGGGAGGCATGCAGAGCTGTTGCATAGAGCATGAACATATTGTTCCAAGCATGCAAGATGCTCCTGCCTGTCCTCTGCCTGCCTCTGGGAACCTCTGGAACTGAGCCATGTTGAGATGAGCTGTAGCTCCAGGTGGAAAGAAAACATTTTGTTTCATTAAAAATGATTCTAGCATTACTTCTGAGGTTGGCGTGATTTGAAATCATTGCTTACATGTAATAACCTTTTCCCTGCTCATGTCAGAATGTGTGACTCCTTCTTCTTCTAGAGCCCTGGCACATCTTGAGACACAAGGGAGACCGATAGTATAAACCTGGGTTCCAGGAAGAAAAACCCTCAATGGGCCGGTGAGAAAAACAATAATGCAGATGTTTGCCTGTTGCACAGTCCTGGTCCTGTGGTATCTACAGCATTGGTGAATTCTGACTGTCTAGGAGCTGCATCTATCATTACTGACCACATCCAATCTTGATGTGTATTTTAGTAAACTGAAGATTTACTAAGGGGACTGGGAAAGGCGATTGGTGGCATTTACCCTGTACAGTGTATGGAGTTAGATCATCAGCTTTGCATAAAATGAAGAGCGGTGGGGTTTCAAGACCAATGAACAGTATCTGGGCTGGGGCCACAGCTCAGTGGAGGAACGCTTGTTTAGAGTGTGAAGGGTCTTCTCTTTAATCTCCAGCACTTCCTCAAACAAACACAGTAGCGACACTAAACTCGAGTAACAATTTTGAAAACATAAAGATCCTATTCAAAGGATCAGCAACATTATAACCCACATAGAATGGACCTAAGTAAATATCCAAAACTTGAGGTGCTGATTTATATCATTTAAAGTTGTTTTTCTTTTTTTCTCTTTAAAAAAACATTTTAGATGGGTTCAACATTTTAAGCAATTGTCTGAGAAAAGTTGAGCCCAATATGGTTGTTTGGAGGAATAATTTCAGTGTGGTCCAAGTACATCCCTATCTGAGAAGAGAAGTAGAATTCCTATGGCTGAACCATGCAGGGCAGACAGTCACCATTTCTCACAGAATTTCCTTTCTGCTGTAAGTCTCACATCCCTCTGCCACATGCAGCAGCTTCTCCCCCCCGCCCCCCCCCCCCGTTCCATTTCTCTCCAGCCACTTGCTTCTTATGCCTTTGACCATGCTTAGCGCATCTCCGAGTGGCCATCCCCTTGCTTTCATCTAGGAAGCCAATCTTCAAGGAGACAGATCACTCTAGGCATGAGGAATGGGATAGACCGCGTTTCATCTCAGTGGGTTGCCAATTTGAATCTGGCACAAGGCAGCAGTGACTGAGATTCATCTCTGCATGGGTAGAGCAGTGTGCCCTCCTCTCCCCACCCTGAGGCCACGGAACTTCTGCCTGCTTTGGGTATGCACCTTCCCAGGCGCTTCTCTGAATGGATAGCTCACTTCAGAGCAGTCCATAGGAAAGCACCGAATGCATTCATTCCCTCACACCTTCTAGAAGCTGGTTCCCAAGAGTCACAATAATATCTCTCCAGTTGAGCAGTAGGAATTCATGGAGAAGAGAGAAGGTGTTTCCTGGTCAAGATCATAATCTGCATGATAGGCCTGGAAGATTCCCATCCAGTTCAAATGCGCCATCTTGGTCTATGCACCTATGTTCTGAGCTATTGTCTGGGGAATCTTATTAAATAGCTCACCATCATGCACACTGTGATCCTGAGAAATACTCTGGATTTGCCCGAATTCTTTGTGCAGACAAACTAAAGATTGGAGTGAGTTGCCTTTCTCTTACTTAGGAGATCTGTGGAGAAGCATTTTTCTTTCCTGCCTGCACCCTAGAGGGATTTTGAGTTGACTCTGTACTGTCACTACTCTTGGGGAAGCTGTCAGTAGACTTACAGTTTACATTACAGTATATTCATTTTCTGTTTAATTTATTTCTTTTATGTGTTTGGGTATTTTGCCTGCATGTAAGTCTATGCACCATATGCATGCAGTGCCTACGGAGACCAGAAAAGAGCGCTGGATCCCCTGGAGCTGGAGTTACAAACAGTTGTGAGCCTTCACGTGGGTGCTGGGGGAACTGAGTCCAGGCCCTCTGTCAGATCCATCTCCCCTGCCCCTTACTTAGAGTAATAGAGGTAGATGGGGGAGGGGGAGGATAGTCAAAGCGAGGACTCAATTCAGGATTGAACCTATGTCTGTAGAATTCCTGTGGTATTTGTACTTCCTGTCCCAGGTCCTGCTTCCTCTTGGGGTATTTAAGTAGCAATGATTTATAATGATAAACTCCAGAATTCACTATCTTTATTATTCACCAAACTTTTTAATAGTCTATTCTAACTATTTTTTCTTCACCTTGATTTATGGTGGTCTTAGAATGGATGTATGATATCTTTCCCTTCCTGAGAAATCATACTTTCACAGCGATCAGCTCTAATGTTATTGACAGTCTGATGAAATCCAGACTAACTTCTTTGGAGGCCTCCATTTGGATTCTCTGTGTTTGTTTTCTCCACATCTCTCTTTGTCCTTCTACAAGGAAAATTGGCAGTGTTTCTAAGCTCCCCACCCCCACCCCCAGAGCTAAATATTGGCCCGCCCTTTCCCGGTATGTGATCTCAAGAAGATGTCACTAGCTGGCATTCAGTTACCCTTTGAATTGCCCCTTTTCATCCGGGCTGTTCTTCCCCAGTCCAGCTATAATTACCATC